CAGGGCGGCGTCTTGGATTCGAACCGCGAACCTCTGCAACGAGCGACGGTGGCGCCCCCGGCGTGCCACCACGTCCACGGCCCGGGGGCACGGGCGGCGTGAGCGGCAGAGAGGAGAGGTTCGAACAGAGCCACCTTCTACGGCTGCACTGAACCGCAAAACTCGCAGTTCAAAATTTGGGTTAATCACTTCATTCCAAGCCTCATCAGGTCTCTTTAAACGTGTGCGAAGTACTGGAATGACATCCTTTTTTTCCCACAACATGAATCAAATTTAATTTGCAAGCATTATCCTTTCAGCAACTGCTCCTGCTGCTGCATGTTTGAACAGATCAAAAACGCACCGTATAATTTAAATTATTTATATCACGCTTATCATGAAGGAACGAGGTTGTTACTGCAAGACTTACGACGGAATATTTCTTAGCATCACTCGAGCTAATCTGAACATTGACATATTATTTTTCAAGTGGTTTGCGTGAATTTAACATGAACTCATTTGCAGTTAACTCCGTACAAAACTGTTCTGTTTCTACCGTGTCTGAAACAGATGACTAAGACATGTACACACACAAAATATTGTACACTATCTGGTTTTCTATTTGGTCAAAAGACAATGGTGTCTTTGCCCATTGTGTAATCATGACTATAATAAGAAAGCAGGAAAGAGAGGGCTGATGCATTCTACAAACACGCTCACCGCGGTGGGGTGGTAATTGTTAATCCGCACCACACTAACAGCACTGTGCACACGGCCCCTCTCTTCCACATCGTTACGTGACATTCACGCTCAATATCGTGTAAGATAAATGACGAATTGTCATACTGTAAGAGGAAATATGCATTTGTAAACACGTACTCACAGAGTGGACTACGTTAAGTAAGCAATGTTAATGCTGATAAAAGACAAGTAATCGGAGAAACTTTCCAAGTGCTTCCTCGGTGGACTGAATAATACAAACTGTAGGTAACTGCTCTCCGTCACTTAAAAGCGAGTGTCTGCCTAATAAAATGGGAAATTATACGGCATTCATCTCCGTTGGTGGCATTAATATGATGGTGGAAATTCCACATTCTCAGGGTGGGGCCCAGGTCTATTTATAGGACGGCCACCCTTGACTTCTCACAAAGTGGTACGAAAATAATCGACCCCTAGAGAACCGATCGACCAGGCTGACTCCCCCTCACATCCAACGCAGGGTGTTGAACTTGCAACTTCCCAAGTGTGAGCCAGGTGCTCTCTCCCCCCAGGTGAGTGGCGGGCACCCACCCATCTTGTAATCATCCACCACATCATCATCATCACCACGACCACCACCATAGTGCCTGCATTGTAGCAATGCCCTCCCTCGTGTGTACACGCACAGCCCTTGTGTCAAAGTACCGCTGGATGAGGGTCTCCCCATTGCGTGCGGGTCCTGTTGGTTGTTTGGCCATACTTCAACACACTTGTACAGTGGTTAAGACTCAACTTCATCAGAGGGACGTCTCTTCACGTCTTGTTAGTCAGCATTAACAATACACGCCGGTTCTGAGGAACAGTTATGCCTCTGAGTCACTTTGGGAAATTATCTGTATTTTCAGATATATTTGGGTGACTCCCAAAACCTGAGCTATACCTAAATCCTCAGTGCAAGTGAAGTGTAACTCATTGATGTGCTCATTTACGTCATTACTTCGTGGTCTAACTCACGGAAATGGGTACGGATAAAAATAAAACTTATGATGATTAATTATAATTCTTCCCTTTATGTGGGTTGTAGAGCCGTGGATTAAAAGGCCAGGTGAAGTGAAATCCTATGCCGAAGTCACCCGCGTATGACTGCTGAAATGCACATCATATACCTGTCTCCACACACACACACAGGGCAGCCACATACACTCATCGCTCTGTTTCAATTGCCACGATACCTTCAAAACATTCACTGAATTTCCTCACATGGCATGATTTGGCCCAATATGACCATGATGATGCTTTACCGTATAAACAAGGGTAGACTTGTCTTTAAAAAAAGAAATCTAAAAAAATTCTGACCACCACTCCTGTGCGGATGTATTCCTCAATCGGTGATGAGTTTCCAAAAACTTTGGACTGATGACGCTCATCAGAAAAAATAATCACCTCGACTGCAATTTTACACGACTGTACTTTCGGAAGTCCTTCGCAAAGCAAGCTATGCATTTTACCACCATGCCACTGGGCGGTAAGTTTGCGGGGTTTAATCGTTATTTTAAAATTAAGAAACTAATTATATAAAGGCGCGATTAAAATCAGTCCATTGTGCGGGTTATGCGAGATTATAAAGTCACCCAACTCTGTAAACCTCACATCAGCAATTGCGTTGTGCTCTCAGGACATAACTTTGTCATGAACTCACGCACCTACTGCCATAGAAACACTTCCTGTAACATTACTCACGGTGCATGTGGGAAAGCAACAAGCAATTGGAAAGAGTTTTAAAACCAGCTTTGCAAGTTGCTATTAATAAATGCGACAGCACTTCGACACGATCTTGCAGAAGAGGGGAAGCCGATACGAGCGGAGGGTGAGTGGTCACTGCGCTAAATGGATGTGTTAATGACGATGCTAAGCCGTGGCCCCAGGAGCATAACGTGCATCTGCCGAGAGATGGTGTTGAAGAAGAGGGCGAATGCGATCTCCACAACAACAACAATCACATTCACAATTCTGTATCTATGCTACCCATCCGCGAGTAGCGTATCTGGGGTACACGTCATCTAACCAAAATTCCAAACGGAGTGATTTATCTATTTTAAAATTACATTCATAGCAATAGTATAGCCTGTGATATAAGCACTATATGAAACCTATGAAAATTACATTTTGAAGTACACATCTGAGTATACAAGTTTGTTGTATTTCCAAAATATTGTGTATATGAACGGCATTGTGTTCACGTCTAGTTGACACAATGCTGTTCATAACGTCAAGTTAACACAGTACAGTTTACAAGTTTACAATATGTGTAGTACATAGTCATGCAACAGGTAATATATGTCTGGTATTTGAAATCCATTGGTTTCATACTCTTATCTGATGGAGAGTATACACGGAGGTGGTAGAATAATGCATTTCACTCAGTGGTAACCCATTAAGTCATCCAAAACTCTGCAATGCCAAGGCCTACATAAAACCCTTTCTAAGGATGGGAAACTGCACTGAGAGTGTATTGACAAAGTGAGTTAATCCAAGGAGATCGCTCTGGCCTAAGTTATTCTCAATCCAAAGGGAAAATGTGTATTTATGAATATTGGACAGCAGAAATAGCATACACAAAGACGTGTAGTAACCACCTAATCTTTGCTGATGGCAGTCGTTATATAGAGCAATTTACTGCACGGAATGATTGCAGAACTTGATGAAGAAAATTGCAACGTTTGCCACAAGTAAATGACACGAAAATAAAACGGATCGGAGTTGGGCAATTGTAGGATCGAGATGATTGTGAGCGTTGGGCATTCTGTGTGCTGGCTAGAGACAGCACTGCGCTGTGATGTGCTGAGCATGATCTGTATTGACAGCTTTGCTCAACAACGCAATCGCCACACTTACATCTTTGTGTTGAGAGTATGTTCGAAAAAAAACACAAGCACAGTGATACATGGAGTAACTGAGAAAATAAATCAATAAACAATTATAAAGCACACACACTGCCCGTGCAAAACTAAATAACTCAAAACTGCACGACTCAAACAGCGAAATGTATCAAAACAATTCGAGGTGAAGTGTGTCAAATCACTTTAATTTCCTCATTTTAGATTGCAGGGGCAGGCATACGACGTCTACTATGCAGTATTGATACTTAGCAGTATGAGTCAACACTGCATCTGTACGTCATTGTTCCAAACATACCGTGACAGTGATACATTGGGAGGAGCGGTGGCGCAGTGGTTAACGCATTACACGATGCGCCCGTTAATCTGAGTTCGGTTCCAGGCCACGGCTAACATCAGCAGCGGGTGACATCTGAACCAGTTTTGGGCACCCCATTCACCAACCCGCATTGACCAGCATGGCGAAGTATGGCTAAAAATGCTTGCACATCTAGGGAACACGCGTTTATCGCGCTGACAACACCGCGCGCGCACGGATCAGCAGCAGCACAGCCCCACCCCCAGCCAGCCACTCGCTGCTCGCACGCGCAGAGGTGCGACGCTCACGTCCGTTATCAGCGCTGAGCGCAGCGGTGTCAATTCCACATTCCTATGGGCGGGGGCTCACTCTTCCAATCTGACCCGCTGCTGCTGCTGCCGCTGAGGATGAAGACGGACCCTACCACAATACCAAACCAACACGCGCGCGGTTCTCAACTAATGCGCGAGTCTCTTCTGTGCAGGATCCTGCACAACTTCTCATTCAATCGCTCCGTCGCTGCGACGGGCATCCTCTCGTGCGCGTTCTCTCCTGTTGCTCGTCTCGACCACCGACCATCATCAACCGCGTCTAGCCATGGAGCGATGATGATGACCCTGTCCAAGCCGCAACGTAGCTTTCTTAACTCGCCATTGCCAACGCGACGTCTCAAACAATCTAGCGGCGGCTGCGTGTGGCAGAGGCGAGCCTCGAATGATGAAGCGAGGGGGCTCGAGTGTCAACCGCACGCGGTTCCCACGTGGAGCGCCGCACGAGGTACAGTTACTTACTTTACCATGATCAGCTGTGACCGCGCGCGCGCCTCCGCCGCCGTGAGTCCCACCGCGCCGCACGTGGAGCAGCAGCAGCGGCAGCGGTAGCCGCAGCAGCAGCAGCGGCAGTGGCAGCAGCAGCGACAGTGGCAGCAGCAGTGGCAGCAGCAGTGGCAGCAGCAGTGGCAGCAGCAGCAGCGGTAGAGGCAGTGGCAGCAGCAGCAGCGGCAGCGGCTCGCGCTCTGAGCGAGTGGCGAGCGCCACGCGACCCCCAGCAGAGCGCGCGCGCGGCACGCGGGGGAGGGGGGGCAGAGTGGGGGGGGGGGGGCTCGGGGAGAAGGGGGCGTGACTCACCTCAGGCCTCGTCTCCCATTGGTCGCATCTGAGCCGAGGGGGCGGGATGGATGGGGTGGGGGCGGGGGCAGTGCGGGCGGGTGGGCCGAGCAGGCGAGGAGGAGGCGTGGCCTCGGAGCTGTCAATCAACACAAGCACCGCCAGCAGCGCACAGGTGAGAGACTCGTCGTCATCATCACCACCACCACGAGGCGGTGATCTGTCCACTGCTTGGTGAAGGCCTTCTAACAAGCGGTCGCTATTTATGACAGTCCTGCAGCATAACGATCTTGCATTCACACACGGGCTCTGGTATCATGTCGAGACCTCCGTGGAGGACGTTCTCGAGGCCGCGTTCCCGCCTTTGGCTGCCACTCCGCAGCGAGTCTCGACCGCCGGCCATCATAGTGAGGACGTCTCCTCCAGCCCACTCGCCGGACAGTTTAGAGTCAATCCATAATAAAGGTGTTGGGGTTACGCGATCTAACCCAAACACCTTTATTATGATGATATTGGTCGCGAAAGCCTCCGTGTTAGTTCGAGCTACTTTGTCTCTAAGATAGGAATGTTGTTCGGTTCGTGGTGGCTCTTCACAACTCTTGATAGCTGTCCCTCCCGGCAGTGTCCACTCTCTTATCCACACGCGCGTGAGAGGGAGGGGGGATGGTGCACTCTGTATGCTGACTGAGTCGCTCTTCCGTAGGCACCTGGAGGGGCAGTCGGTGAGAGAGCGCCGTTCCTCCACTCCAGGCTGTCATGGTCCCCTCGCCACAATCGGGCGTCTTCTTTTATCGGTATCCGCTAAACCGGTAAGGGGCCGTCCATAAATGACGTCACGCGATTTTGGACGATTTTTTACCCCCCCCCCCCCTCGTCACACGGCGTCACAAAAAGTCAGACCCCCCCCCCCTCAAATATGACGTCACAAAGCTCTGCCCCTCCCCCCCAAACCATATTTCCATTTTGAAAATAAAACATGCTTCATATCGCTTTAAACTATTGTCATTGTAGTGCGTATTTAATGTGGCGCTGCACTCTGATGTTGTAGGAGAAACATTTATTAAAAAGTCTATTTAATTAAGTAGAACGTGTTGTCTATATTTATTTAAAGTTGCGCATTTTGATGTGACGTCACATTTCTCACCCCTCCCCCCCCGTCACACATCGTCACAAATGTCTGACCCCCCCCCCCCCCTAGGTGCGTGACGTCATTTATGGACGGCCCCTAACCGTTTTCAGAATGGATAGATGTCGCGAAAGTCATTAACAAGGTAACCGTTTCCAGTGAGTTTTACGAATTGTATTATTTGTATGGCAATACGCTCAGGAGCTAAACACCAGTGGAGATGTCTGCTCGCCACGAGATGGCTTCAGGAGAGAGTTGGCGGAGGTTTGCTGCTGCTCCTCCATGGAAGGAGTACAGACCACGGTGGTCGATTTACTCCGTTCCATAGTTTGGGTTGCATGGCCACAATGACACTCCTGTGACTTTGCATCTATGAAGAAGATGTGGGCCTCGGCCTGTTGATGTTCTGATGCGGTTGATCATTATTTGGGTCTCGACTGAGATGTTTATGATGGACGTCCACGTTGTTGCACTCTGTTCGTTTGCAGTGTTTCTCCGGATCTGGGGAGATTCTAGGATGGTGGCAGTATTGTTACACAATATATGTTTATTGCGCAGCCTTTCTATATGTCTGGCAAACCGGTAATTCTGTTTTTCCCCGTTTTTTATGTGGTTGAACACAATGCGAAAAAAATCGATTTAAACAACTCTACCCTACCATGAGAAACTCTTGCTGTTCATATGCAAACTTAGCGTCTACACGCTGCACGCACCTGATAGTTGGTAATCGCGGAAAGCCTTACAGAGGGACCTGAATTGAGAAACACCCACCGACTTCAAGAACTGCTGTAGCAATTACTCATTCTGGTTTTGCTATGACATGCTAAGGCTGTGTTGTGTGTTATCTCTTTGTTTTTTATCGGTTATAGTTTATTCGAGGGTAGATCACAGAGCACATTAAATGGATCAAACGGCTGCAGAAGCACCCAGCTGCTGCTGCTTGCCAGAGCACTGCCCCGGGTTATTGGTATTCTTAGCGCCGTGGTGGTACAGGGCAGGTGCAGCAGCGCTATCATCACAGCGGCAGGGTTAACGCCACAGAATATCTGCTGGGGCAGGGCTGTGCGTGAGTGTTTGACTCACCAGCAGAAGGTCCCGGAGTTCAAGACCGGTTTGGGTTTGACTCAGCCTGGTATTATTATTATTACTATTGTTTACCGAGGAAAGCCTCAGTGAGTCTCAATACTCTTTCTGGAGGGTCCTGCCAAGTTTTCGCAGACAGGGGCGATGGTTGTTCTGTATATTTTTGTTGGGTCATTTGCAAGTAATTGTTCAAATTTGTTAAATTTTGACTATTCCTTTCCTTCTATTCTTGTGTATGGCAATATGTTCAGGAGCTAACCACCAATATCGAGGTCTGCTACTCAGGAGACGATTCGTGCAGTTTTGCTATTCCTCCATTGAAGGAGAGCGCAGACTACAGTGGTGTACTATGTTGTCAAAATTTAGTTGGCACACTCGAAGCCCTCGTCCTATCGGTTTCTACGCCTTCAAATAGCACTTAGCTCTCTTGATCATATCTGGATTTGAATTAAGACGTCCATTTTGCCTAGACAACGTTGTCAGAACTGTCTACTCCTGCGAATTACGTCACGGGACCTTCAGTGTCCACTGTGAAGCAGGCGGCACGTGGTGTGCTAACTGCTGTTACACACCACGGCACCACGAGCCTCACACGCAACAAGCAGCGAGCGCGCCACTACTGGGCCGCGGCACTGCCTGCCCCAGTGATATGGAAAATTACATAAATATACATTTGAAGGAAGAGTGCACAGTGATTGTAATATGGATGTACTGGCCCCCACCATAATATTGTGGAATATTCACAATTTGCTCAGAGTCACCAATAAAAATGACCACAATTCCACATTTAGTCCAGTGGGGAGACACTTCAATTTGGCCTTTGATATAAATATCACAGTGGTCCTGGGCCCTCCCATAGTGGCAGAATGGTAAAACAAATCTATACAAATGAGATATGACAAGTGATGAGTACAAACATTCCATTTTACACATTTACACAATCTGATTTGATAGCACAGTTTAATATGTACAGTCATAATATGCTCTGCCCAAAATATGACGTAATTGCATATCAAACTAATGAATGATACTGGTGCAATGTATTTTCATTAGTACCGCATTAATTCTGTGTTAAAATACATTGACGGTGAGCCTGACCACCTGCAGTGTTTAACTCTAAGCCACTGAATATTTCCCACATCATTGGTAGACTGGAGTAGGTGACACAGGATTAGCAACCACTCGCATCATGGATGTGGTGTGCCGGGTGTGGAAATATTTTCCGGGCCCAGACCGACCCGGCTGAAATGAATCCGCCGGGTGCGAGATTAAACATTCGGAACGTTCCATGTAAGATGCTGATAGTCGTGAGTTAAACTCCACCATTCCTCCTTACAAGGGTGGTCTCTGCGACCTAGTATCTCCCTGCGGGAACTAGAACCAGCTTTGGGGCCTCCAGACACTGCTTATATATTGCGTCTACAACTCGAGCTTACGTAAAAAGTGGTCAAAGATCTTCCAAATGCATGAATCCAGTGCTGAATGTCAATCAAGGCCTTCCGTAGCCTTTGCATTTACCTGGGAGGTGAGACTAACCATCTTTAAGCAAATCCCTGGCTGCTTTTGTTGCAACCAAAACGTCGTATTCTATTATTATTTTATTTTCTACGTGACTTTACCGAAAGAACCAAAGAGTAGACACAGAAAATTTCACCAACAATGGAAATGCGTTCAAGTATGTGTTCATAAGATGCGATGTGAAGTACGCAGAATACCATCTATGGAAATATAAAGCAAAAAAATTCCACCCCCTTCTTCAGCAACCCTGCTGCCTTGTAACAGGAAACTATAGAAAGCAAGTGCCAACGTCACATTCACAGCACATATATAAAAAATATCACCATGGAAACTTTCACAACCTTTCTCGGAGTCCTATGGCATTCACTACTCTGAGTTAAGTCCACCCCAATCACAAGTTAACAGAAATAAATATCTTAAAATAAAAGTGGTATCTGCAAACTTTGTAAAGAAAGCATTTTTGCAAAGAAATTAGTCATTTTACCCACAACCAAAGAAAGATTGTTATAGCAGTTTGCACAAAGCCATGCATCGGGCCCATTCTCAGTTTCTGCCATTTTGCGTTTCCGTGTTGTCAACGCGAAAGACAGCAAAAGAAATAAAATGTCGGGAGGTTGGTGCTGTAATAGGACGATGTCGGCGCCACTGAGGGACCACCTTGACACCTGCGTGAATGATTGGCGGAACCCGACAGCGACTCTCACCCCAACCAGCATCTGCATTCAAGTAAAGTACCCTGTGGTCAGGAGATGCTTGCGTTACATTTCACAATGCAGAATAAAAATTAAAGTATACATTTTTGTGAAATGCTACACCTCTTCCCATTTTCCACAGCTGTTAAATAGATTCTGAGTTTGTGCCAGATCAGCATCAGGCAACAAGGCTCAGGCTCGCTGTAGCGGGAGCAGAATTAATGTAAAGTGGACGATGAACCGATAATTGCGATGTAGTGAGATTGAGGAAAGTTCATTTCAACTTGCATGTTACCTTAAATCATGCTTTTGGCTGCAATGCTCATCTGCAAGAATATTCATATACCTACGAAATATGTAAATTATATAACTGTACGAAACATATACCTTCACAAAAGCTGCGGTTCTGTGTCACTGCCATTACACTACCATGATGCTAAAATGACTTGAGTCGTGAATGGGATTAATGGGAAGCAACAGCAGAAGACTATTAACCATGCCCTTGAGTTTCTAACATTTATTCCCTAATGCGAGTTGTGATCAATTGTAGCTCGTTGAGAACTGTCTACCAGTGTTTTAAATGACTGACCATCAACATTGGCCCTGCTCTGTTCACTGCTGGATGAAAGCCTCCCCAAGTCATCGCCATTCTTGACAGGTCTCATAACACAACATCATGGTCCGCCTTCAGTAATTCCATTTGGTACACATACTCTGATG